TGGCGAGCGGCTCGGCAGCGTCGTGCCCGCGAGAGACTCCGCGTTCGACCGGCGCGGTCAAGACGGCGGCGGCGCGGGTCGGCTGGTCCAACCGTCATCTGGGTCAGTGCGGCTGGCCTCTGGGGCGGTGAGCGGCCTCCGTGCGCTGCCTCTCGAGACGCGCAACGGAGAGGCCTCTGCGAAGCCGCCCGCGCCCCGACCTCGACCCCGACCTTGATGTGTGCTCCTGACCGCTCCATTCCATCCCCTCCTGGGCGGCACCCAGCGGTCGGCGATTACCCCTTGTCCGCCCCGCCCCGCCCTCTCTCCTCACCCCCCGCCCTATCCCACCCATGGCTATCTGGGATCATCCACCGGAAAGCGGGCCGCGACCCCGTGAAGATGGGCGCGTGCGCGCCAGGATTCGGCCCGATCCCAGTCTGGGGTCCCGGGTGTCGATTCCCCAGTGCTGCGGCTGTGAGGTTGGGCGGCTGAGCTGCTCCCAATCTCAACGGACGGTGACCAAAGTGACCTGTCGGTGGCTCGACAGGGCGTCCGCCCGCCTTTGCGACTGGGGAACGGCCGACTGCTCGAGCTGGCTCGCCGTCCTGCCCCGCTGCCGCGCATTTTGGGTTTCGACCCGAGACTTTCGTTCCGAAGGTGGCGGTGCCAGTGGCGGGGGGGCTCACCCCGCGTGGAAGTCTCTGGAAGCGCGCTGGACGGCACGGAACGCGGGCGGAGGTGAGACGAAATCGTGGACAAATTTACGGACCAAATTATAGTCGAAATTACGACCGAATTGTGTCCGAAACCCGCTGATTGGCGGAGCACCTTGGAGAGGCGTCACTCCATCGTTGGCAACACGCCAAGGCAAACCGCCTCTGTGTGCATTTACGTAGACCTCTGTTTGCTTCTCTCGACGGTGTGTGGGCCGTGCTGGCGAAGCGTGCGGTTGGGCTGACTTGGTGTATTCCACGCCGCCGTGCCTTCGCATGCGCAAACTAGAGGTTGCTGCAGCCTCAGTGGCGTCATGGCCTGGCACTTTCGACCAAGGCTCGGAGAGGAGTCGCAGTGCCGCCACCAGGCATCCTAGTTGCTGCGGCCCTGGCTACCACGGAATACGTGGCACGTATGCAGTACATTCAGGTGTTATGCACGCATGCAAGTGCTAATTGATATGCTAGCCAATTGTGAACTGAAAAAAATAGTGGCCATATCGCATTGCGGCCTGCGCTGCAGGGGTCGAGGACAGCAGGGACAGAGTAGTGTGGGGGACCTTTGCTGGGGCCTCGTGCACGGCACGGCCCTGGACCGCATTCATCAACAGAAACCGCCATTGTGCAATGCCAAGGGCAATACCATTCGGTACCAATTCGCGCCGTTGCAGCTACACTTATGCCATCGCAGTGACTGCGATGGGGCCACTTAGTCGAAGTGCATCACAGTCGTCGTCGCAGAAATGACGGTTTCCACTTGTGAATCTTGTAGGGATCGCCAGTAGAAAAGGGCGTTTCAGCGATGCCAAGCGCAATGCCATCTGACACTTGCTGATGCAACCACAGCTATTTTAAAATAGATTTATGCCATCTTAATCTTTGTGATGACGCCAGCAAACGCAAAAATGACACTGCAATTGGCATCGCAAAAATGGTGTTGTCTGTCGAGGCGTCTCCGCCTGCGCTCTCGTGCGTGCGCTGAGCCGTGTGTTTGCTGTCTTATGGATCTTACCTTCTTTGTTGCTGGGCACCATCAGGGAGAGGCCGTGGGATGCAAATGGCAACAAGAACTCGGTGCTCAGAAGCTTGCAGAAGCAGAAGGTCTAGTGACTTTAGCTGCTAACCTGGAGGCGCTACTGAGATATCAAGAGGGAAGGGATGAATTTTTAGAGGGTCTTAGATACCTGAATAAAGGTGCTGGGAGAGAAGCACACATAAGTGGTACAGATCCAAGAACATTTGGGGCGCGTCCTTGTTATTCTTGGACGCTGTCCTGAGGCTCAGAAGATGCAGCAGCGAGCACTGGACATCTTCAAAAGCTGCGCAAATGACCAGGAACAGGATGTGCCAGCAGGCGCGGGATATTGGGGAATGGCAATGCTCAACAATAGGTATCTTTCAAGAGCAAAGGAATACTGAGGCCAGGCAATGAAGATGGCAATGCTGATCCTGGGTGACGGCCATCCAAATGTTGCCTAGAGTGTGAATGATTTGGGTCTGGTGGTGTTTTTTCTGCTGGATTCGCCCCGTGCTGAATAGTGTTTTTCCAAGGCATTAGATACTGTGAATGGGAAATTTCATTTGGAGACTGCACGGAGTATGGGTGGCCTAGTAATGGAGCTGAGGCGACAGGGGGGGCTTTGCCAAAGCCGAGGAGCATTTCAGAAAAGCTTTGGCCGTTGAAAATCAGACCTTGTGTAATGGCCATCCCTTGTATCACAGATATACTTGCTGACCTGGGAGGGACTACTTGTCATCAAGGTAAGCAGTCAGAAGCTGAGGAATGCCAGTGGGAGGCGTTAGCCATGAGAAGGCAGGTTCTGGGGGACGACCATCCATCTATTGGAGCGGCTTTCGGATGCATGGGATATATGGCATACATACAAGCGAATTTTTCCGAGTCTGAGAAGTACTACAGGAGGGAGCTCGCTATTTTGAGACAGGTCCATGGATGCTTCCATCCTTTTACACCATCGCCAATGGTTCCGCCGAAGGCTCTCCAAAGTTCTTGCGAATAAAAGCCACTGGCACCATCCCAATGGCAGTGCTCTGAAATTGCCTACATGGAGCTGGTGCTTCAAAGGCTCTCGAATCCTTACTGACCCCCCCTGGAACGCCTTCCCGACAAAGGGGTTATCTCCCCAGGAAATATATATAATGTAATGATGTATAATATGTTGCTGCACCAATAAGTACTGAAACGCAGATGAGACTGGACGCGGAGACAGCAGTGCCGAAGGTGCGTGGCGGCTCATATCCAGTTGCTTGTGGTTCTATCGTGGATGCATCCTATTGATGTGAGTTTAACAACACTAGTGGAGGACGGGAAGGTTTTGCGATTCCAGCAGCGATACCGCTTTGACACAAAGTTGCCACGTCATGGCCATCACGACATCATAAAATGTACTCCCAGACGATGGCATAAAAGCTTGCCCTATTATCTGTGCTGCAATCAATTATTGTCGAATGGCGTCATATGACGTGGACTCTTCACCAACGGAAGCAAAGGGGGGCCGCCAGCGGGGAGGGCACTGCTGGGAGAAACGGACGCCCGCGGCAGAGCTCGGGAAATGAAGCAGACCCCGCAGTTGGCAATGGGCATGCGCTCGGTGCGCTTCAGGATCGACAAATGCAAAGGTCTCGACAAATCAACAAATGTTCCGGTGCAGCGCGGGAGCTTGGAGCGCTTTGTGGATGAATTCGAGCCTGTGGTCCCAACGGAAGTTGCAAAAGTTGAGTTTTCTGGTCACTATAATCGGACGGCGGGCAGGCTGATATGTCATCCTGGTGCAGCCATTGGTTGAGAAAAGGCGAAAGCGGTACGATGGTTAATCGTGTGGCATACGCCTGTGCCTGGTGCACAATAGAGCAAAACAAGTAATCATCGAGCCAAAAGGAACACCATCACAATCAAGTCATTTTTGCAGCAAATCATCATTCTCGCAACACCAAGCTGCCCACACAAGTATCTGATAATCTCCGGACGGAACAGCGCGCAGCGGCATTTCCTGTGCTTCTGAAATTTTGTCGCCGGATGTGCGCACCAATCGGCAAAAAGTAGCTTGGTGAGCAGGGGTGCAAGCTTCTGAACGTGGACATCGCACCATTCCAGTGTCACACGAAAACCAACATTTTTCCGCCATAAGGGCTTCCCTTACACCACGCGGCGGAGACACGGTCATTGAGATTAACGACGCCGAATTCTACGTAGAAAAGAGCGCGCAGAAGAAATCAAGATAGAATTCTTAAAGAATATTTCCTAAAGGGTTGCTTCCGCATTAGCATCCAGGGAGATCCCAAACAGGTCCCAGGCACAGACAATCTTGGAATCCAACTGTCCTAAACCTTACGTGGGAAGCAGCGGGATTTAGGAAGGAAAGCGCGTTTAACGACGTCGTTGACGGAACTCACGCAGCCAATTCGGATATCGCAAGTGATCACTTGGGGGCATCCCTGGGAGTGTGCGGCATTCTGCCTTTAGCATCCAGAAGAGTGTGCTCGAGCTCTGAGGCAATGACTTCGCGGTCCTGTTGGGTGCTGGGGAACCCGCCCGCCCAGGAAGAACCACCGGTAGAAAACAGCCTGTTTGCGATGCCAGCTGCGATGCCATTTTGACACAAATTGATGCCATCACAGCCCCTTTTATGCCATCGCACTCACTGCGACGGTATCAATTTGTGTCAAAATGGCATCACAGCTAGCATCGCAAACATGGCGTTTTCTACCAGTGAACGGGTCTGTAAAGTTCACGAGCCAATTATTAGTGCCAAAGGGAAAGCGCATGTTGGAGGTTTATATGGACTCAAACTCAGCCTAAGCTGTAAGTAAGATGATATCTAGTGTTTTGGGCGAATTCTTTCTGAATCTGATGTTTGATGCAGACTTCGGTGCGCAATGCTGCGCCTGACGCAGCATTGTGTGGCATAGCGCAGGGCGAGCGTCTACCAGGCCATAATGCAATCGTCTGCACCTGAAGCAGTTGGACTATTGACTTTTGCTTAGATGAGCCCATCCACAGAGCATACCTTACAGAAGCAACTGTAAATAAAGGCACTTGGGAGCACACGCGAACAAGTCGACGCCAGTCAGGATCCAATGCGCTACAATAGAATGTTTTGAAAGTATCTATGATGTATTTGCAGCACGTTCTGAAGCACACGGACAGTACAAAGCCGTTCGATTCAGAAAGCAAGTAATACGTTGCTGCTTTGAAGATATCGACAAGATCAAATGTGCGAAGACCACAAAATGGGCTCGATTTAATTCTGAAAACTGATCCTATGTGTAATTCATCAAGTCCTTGGCCTATTGAATGTCGCTCTTCTGCTCGCGAATCTTGTCCAATTCTGTTATTGCTGCTGCAGCGTTCCCAGCGTTGTAGCCTGGGAGCCCTTTCTCTACTTCGAGACACGTTTCCAAGACATCCTCCGCTTCTACAAGCTTGTCCTGATTACGCAGTGCCAATCCAAGGTCGAACAGACTCCAAGCAGCCTCTGCGTGACGGCATCCATAGACTTTTTGGCGTATACTCAATTCCCTCCTATGGTACTGTTCAGCCTCGCAAAATCTCTCCTGCTGGGACATCAAACGTCCCAGCCATCGCAAGCTCGATGCAACACACGGGTGGCAGCGCCCCAGAGATTGTTCCCAAATGGTCAAGGCCCTCCAGTGGCAGTGCACAGCCTCGGGAAGCCTTCCTTGCTCGCCCAGCACAGTGGCGATGTTGTTTAAGCTCTCGCCAACATCGGGGTGCTCATCGCCCAGAACTCGTTTCCTCATAGCCAGTGCCTGGTAATGGTATTCTTCGGCTTCCGAGAGCCTGCCTTGACAAGAAATAGCCACCCCTACATTTGTGAGGCTCTCTGCAATAGCCGGGTGACCGTCAGAAGCCATCCGCTTTGCAATGGCCAGGGCTTTTCTGTGGTGCACCTCAGACTTTTGATAGCTATCGTATTCCCACATCACCATTCCCAGGCCACCCAAGCTCCGTGCAGCCTCCAAGTTGCCCTCGTCGTTCGTAATGTCCAGAGCTTCGGCGAAGCACCTTTCGGCACCGACCAAGTCCGACAGCTCATACATCACCATTCCCAGGTCGTTCAGGCTGTGTGCCACGCTAGGGTGCCGCCCTCCCAGCAGCCGTGTTTTCATCTCCACTGCTCGGTTGCAGTACTCTTTAGCCCTGAAGAAATGACCTTGCTTCAGCATCGCCGCTCCCAAATGACCGATGCTGGTTGCCACGCCCTGGCGGTAATTGCGCGCTTCGCAGATGTCCAATGCGCTTTGATGCAAGCTCGCTGCTTCGACGTATTTGCCAAGAGTCGCGAGACAACACCCCATGCAGTTTAAACTCCGCGCTACCAAGACGTGCTCATTACCTAACGCACCCACGCGAATATCTAAAGCTCTCTTGAAGACTTCCTTTGCCTCACGGTATTCCAGATTCTCTTCAAGATCAGCAGCTGAGGCCTCCATTGCCTCGGCCTCTTCAAGTTTCTCCTTAACGTCGGAAACCAGTGTTCTGATCTCCTCATCTTCACCCTGATCACCAACGGGCACGATTTACAAACAGCACATGGGACGCAAGCACTGCAACGCAACACAACCTGAGCCTGGGCAGGTCGCGTGTTGAAACGGACTAGACGAAATTAGTCCCACCTTAGACCCCGATGCAGGGAGCGTGGCCCCCCCCGTGGCTGTCATCCAGGACACCTGCGGCGCAACACCCACAGTTGTAGCTTTGACATGCGCCCGGGCGCCCCCAACGCTTCAGATTAGTAGTGCCTTTGAGCACTCACTCGTGCACGTCTCGTGTTGCATACATTTTCGGCATATTTTTTTGGATCCCATTGGTGTGGAAGCTGGGATGGAATTCGCCTTACAGAAGGACTCCCAATATCGGGTGGTCACTAACGGCCCCTCTAAACGTAGCAGTCTTCGCGAACAATTGCAGTTTCCTTGAGATGTGACCACCCAGGGTGACGCCACCAAATTCCCTTTCTGCCTTGTCGAGAACCTCGCACTTGGCAGCGGCCCTCCACTGGACACGCGCGCCTTAATTGCGCAGGAATTCCTGAGGAGGAACGATTTCAGGCGACGGAAAATCATAACCGTGAAATAATCCACCAGCAAAAAAGGGTGCGGAGACACGTCCGAAGCACAGAGGCGCGCGACGGAAAACCACCGCCCTCGCACGTATGCCGCGTTTCACTCCACCCCGCCGCACGCTCGTTTCGTGTTTCTTTTCTTCTTTCCGCATTTTGTTATATTTCGCGCATACTCTTTCCGCAACCCAACCCTGCACCGTGATGCACACGTGCACACGTCGATGCTGCACCGTCCCGCGTCCCGCGTGCATCCAGTCGCTGCCCAGAGCGCGCAGCCCCCCACACGCCAGCCCCGACACTGTCCCCCTTCCCGGTGTCGGCCCCGTCGCCGCCTTCCGCTGCGCCCGAGCCGGCCAGCGTCCGGATGGTCTCCCAAGCCAATCCTGCCAACCGGAAACGCGCACGGCAATGCCCGCGCGCCTCCGGTCCATACCGGCCGCCCGAGACGCCAGCCCCAGCAACGCGCCCGATGCGTGACAGGCCGACGCCTGATGCGCCCAGGCGGCCATCTCCGAAAGGGATGGCGGTCGAGCGAGCGCCAGGGTCACCGGCCAAACCCCCCCTCCTCGCCGCCGGCGCGACATTCGATACCGCGCATGCTGCATCGGGAGTTCTGGGGGGCACCGCCCCGCGGGCGGCACCAAAGGCGGACCTGGCATCTGCGGTGGGCGATCCCGAGACGCGCGGAATGGCGCGGCGTGGAATTAAGGCACCGATCTACTCGGGCGACGGAAAGCCCCCGACGGGCCAGGGACGGAGCGGGCGGTTGTGCCCCGGTCGCCTTCGCACCTGGTCCACCCTTTCCCGGGCGGTGATTGACCGTGGGCTGCTTGCGGCGCCTTCGCGCGCTCTGCGGCCCGCGCTCCTACCGGCGCGCTGACCTCCGTGGTGGTCGCCTCGACCGGCCAGCTCCAAACAGTCGCGGCGGTGGCTGTCAGATGACGCGGCGGGTGCCGCCAGGCAGCCGACTTGTGCACCCGGGCACCGCTGACGGTGCATACTGGCGGCACCGGTGGCTGTTGCCCCGCTTCCCTGTCCCTTCCGCGCCGCTTCGGAACAACTCCCCGCCGCGGTGCCGATTGTGGGCCAATGAAGCGGCTGGGCTGCCGTACAAAATGCCAGCGTGGCGGCCGTGCTCCGCAGCTCACGTCGCACCTTCGCTTATGTGCCGTGTTTGCACCACGCCCCGTTGTGTGGCCTGGTAGGTTTGTGGGGCGTTCGAACGGTGAATTCACCAGCAAAGGCACTCAGCAGAGCGTGCATGCGCAGCGGGCTGTTGCCCTGCAAGCGTTCCTGCACTGTGACGCCTTTGCGGCCAGCTGGTGGCGACAGCACACACAGCAGAACCACTGCACGCTTCTCGCGTGATCTCATGCCTGCGAAGCTTTTGTGATTTCATTACGCATCAACCAGGATCGAAAAATTGACTCCACGCTCACTATTTCCCCCCTCCCCTTCCCTCTCTCCTCTTTCGTAATCACCCCCCCACCCCATCCCCCCACCCCCCCAGCCAGAACCTTGTATTCTGCTCAAAGTTTCTGCCCACTAAAGCGCCGTGACCACGGGGCCGAATGCACAGGGCGACGTTGTCAACAATTCTACCTCAATGCCCCTTATGCCACTTGGGAGGCTTTGAATGGCAAGGTCATCCCTCAAAACACGCGACATATGGTTAGCGACTGTGTACTCCAGCAGATCGCGAACAACGAAAGGATTCGCTTCCTCCCCAAGAAGTAACGTCCAAGTCTGCGAGAGCCCCTCATGCGTCCCACCCGGGGCATCCGTCGTTGTCCCACCAATGCCGCCCCCTGACCCCAGCCCGGTCCCCCCTAACCCAAACCCAAGTCGCCATTCAGGCTTTCCGCCTCCATCCCTGCCATCCCTCCCCGGACGCCCTCCAGGCGCTGAGCAGGGATGGGTGCTGACATACCTGTCGTGGGCGCTCTCGCTATGACAGCAAAGAAGGGAGGTGAGGGAGGGCAGCCACAGCTGGATGTCTGCCCAGACCACACATGCTCGGTGGACACGATGTACACGGAAAGATCGTTTGAGTCTCTCGAGATGCCTGTACAGTTGTGATAAACGCAAGTAACTGTAGCGCTGCCATCGCATTCTGCATTTGGGGCCAAGTGCTTCCCGCGTGTCTGTATGCCAATCTCCACACCCCCAAGAGTCCCCATCCGCGGCCCGCTGGGAGCTTCCATCAGGTCTCTGGCACCTTGGCTCGCGTGCCATTACAAGAGCGCGGAAAGAAAACAAAGCTGAAGGCAGCCGTCTTCATAGCCCTGCCGATTTCTGTGGCCACATTCACAAATACGGCGGATATTTAGAAACGGGGCCCTCCGTGTCCTTGGATATGCGAATATGGCGTCCCTGGCTATGGCTAAGAGATGGCTCTATCTAGGATATGAGCGCCCGCACGCTGGATGCGCGTATCCAGGAAATGGAGGGATATGGCCGTATCCTGGATATGCATATCCAGAGTATGGCACCCATATCAGGATGTGAGACTATAAATTACTTTTTGCAAATGAGATGTTGGCGCCACGGTGCAGGGATCTGCACCCGCATCTATTGAGGCTAAGTCGTTTTGCTGGGAATTATCATTTCTTGAACACGTGAGAGAACTGACAAGGTCCGAAATGATGTCACCTGGTGCCTGTTTAATCAACAGGCAGCTTAGTTGTTATGTCACAAAGTTGCAAAGTTTTATTTGAGGAATTGGGTGTAAGAACAGCTTGCGTTGACATTGATAGTCGGTGCAGAAACACGTAAATGCCATTCCTTTAAGAGTGGTGCTCGAATGTATCCTGTACGCATAAAGATACAATAACAGGGCTGCATATATCGATTTGACTGCAGTGTTGTTGTCTTTGCCACTGGCTCTCTTCCAAAATGATGGATTGGAATTTGTTGCGGTGATTTACAAACTTCACACATTGCTCTGTGGAATTGAATATGGACGAAAAGTGCCGCCATAACACCCAGTGTCCATGGCAGACAGCCTGGCTCAGATATCGAACCACCACTTCAGATAACGAACTTAAGCTCACGGTGGTACTGGTTAGTAATGTCAATATCCACCATCAGAAACCCGCCATGCTTGTGATGTCAGCTGCGGCGCCATTTCGACACAAAGTGCTCCCATCAGAGCGATTAAAATGACATGGTAGCAGCTGCAATGGAATCAATTAGTGTCAAATAGCAGCGTAGTTGCCCTGCCAAGAATGTCGTTTTATACTAGCGATCACCCTGGAAGTTGACCTTGATCAGTCTCTATTAGGTGGTGCATTCTGCCGCATGGGCTTACAGCACCAAATGGTGCGTTGCTTCAGGTGGTAATGCTACTTTACGCCCGAATACACCAAGTTTCTGCCACGTATACAACAGTATTGGCATAGTGGTACTATAGTGACCAGCTGGTTGCGGAGGTTGGTCAGTTTGATCAAAACCAGCTCATGGGCTGCATCTGCGTCAAAGCAATGCAATAGAAATCAGGCCCCTCCCTACCATTTTCCTGCCACTTGAGTCTCGAATTCCATCCCTATAAAGAATGGCAGCTGCTTGGAAATTGCTCAATACAGTGCATTGCAAATCCTAGAGCATATCAATATGGAAGCCAGGTAGATCCGATTCTAGAAGGCCATAATTTGTGAAACAAATACAAAATGTTGCCATGGATATAACTGCGCTTTTATTTCAATCACACAATTAGGCATTTGAGCACATTGTGGCAGCCCACTAGCACAGTCTATGCAACCAATCACATTATTTACAATTTAGCAGACCCAGGACTCCGCTCCTTAATACTTCCTCCGTCCTAAATCAAATGAAACAACTTCTTGTGAGGCTGAATTTGCATGAAGTTCCCTCTCCTTTCTCTTAAAAACGCACCCACATAATCTACTATACATGTAATGCTTGCTGCCAGAATATCAGAGGGAATGATTAAGTGCACTGCATGTGGCAATGAATTGAACCTGCGTTACTCCAGTCCAGATTTTGGTCCCTCCCAGGGCATCTTCCGTCCGGGATGGCTCAATACACAAATGCAGCCCCTCTTCCTCGACTTCAGGGAACTGGAAGGATAGAGCTGCAGACCTTGTCCCGGCTCTGGCGCAACGATCGGCACCCATCGAGATGGACAACCGGCAGAAATGGCGCATGGCTGCCATCTCGCCATCACGGCTTGTAGAGCTCCCCCCACCGTCCACGGCGACGCAAGGACATATCTGGGATCTGCCATTGCCAGCAGGTCTCTTGGTGGCTAGAGACTAGCCGCGGAACTGCTGCGTGCACCCAACTCTCTCCGTTTGTTGCCTATCCCCAATTAATGGGGTGTTTGGCGCAAGGAGCACCTACCCACAAAAGGGTATCAATCACACCAAACATGACTGATGGAGGGTGTGGATGCTCTATCGGAGACCCCAGGTGGTGCATAATGGTGCTGTTGCGTTCGGCAAGGACAGCGTGCAAAATATTCGCAGCAGTCTATCAATCCAGCTTGAACGGCATTTGAAGTGCTCCTTGTGGCCTGTGCCGGCGATGTTTTCCCCACTGCGCAACGAATTGACATTCGCATCTCCAAATGTTTGG